AACACAAAGACAATAAGAATCACACTTTGTATGACGTTGAAGCTTGTTAACTAAATCGATATAATCTTGTAAACCATAATCCAATTTATCAGAACGTTTCTGACATGGATGATGATATGGAAATGGTGTATTAAGACCAGGATTAATAGTAGTGACCAAAGAGTCTAGATATTGTATTACATCGTTTATAATTTCTTTATCTTCTTTCATTTTGTTCCAATCAATAACAGGAGCATCTTTTCGTTTAGCAATGCCATGCACGTGAGAGCTCCCGCGATGCTGCCATTCGAAACGGTACCACCAGTTCTCAAGATTCCACTTTGGCATCAATACCTTTTCGAAAAACAACTTAAACCGTCTTTCAAAAAACCAAGCGGTAATATGAGGGTTATTGATCAAGTCTTGTCACCTGTATATCACTGCGTCCTGTTCGGATAATCCATCCAAAGAATTCACACGAGGCATTAAGTTGTGCAGATCTGGCCAATGAAAGTCGGCAGCATTGAAAGTAAAGAATATCAATCCCTGTGACCCCAATTGTTTAATCATATCCGACAGTTCAAAACAACGTCTAAACCAAAACTGACGAGACCCACGTAATCCCTCTCCAAATCGAACAATATTATCTGCCATATAAACATCATTTTCAAGCATATCTTGTAAATCTTCAACAGTATAGTACTGAGAACCTAAATTTTGCCTTATATAAACTTTATCTTCTTGTAAGGCTCTCTATCGCATCTGCGAGTTTAAAGCAAAGTAGCCCAACGAGTATGTTGTGCAAATCGACCATCTTTATATTTAAGAAGGTGCAAAAAATACTCAGCCGGCTTAACATCTCTAGTACGTTCTGAACGAATATCAGCAATACCAGTAGGATATAACATTGGAAAAGCACAGGCAATGTAACCTGGTGTTTGAAATTCATTTATAGGAACACCATCTATATTCGTCCACATAACAGTTTCACTATCAGAACAAATTCGGTCAAGTGTTTCGATGATTGCTCTTCCTTCATCAGGGCTCGGAAACGGAATAGGAACAAAATTACTAATTACAGAGTTATCAAGAACATTGAAATCTTCATCGATTTCATCATCTTCTTCAAGTCTGGGAATTTGATCATCAAGTGGGCCATTTTCAGGTAATGATTTCAAAACATCATCGTCAATATTGATATTAAAATAATAACGATTTTTATTTTTCAACTACAAAAGAGCACGGGACATCACAGATCGATGCACGTTAAAATCCTTAAAAGCTTTATTATTTAAAGAATGACAACGAACAACAAGAACATCAAGTGATGAAGGACAACGAGGTAGACGTTTAGTAAATCCTGATACGTCCTGAGGAAAATTGATTACATTGCCACTATATGCATATTGACCACCCAGAAACAATATATGGAGACGATTGGAAAGATTTGTGCAATCAGCATCTCTTCTATTTGGGTTAGACCTTGCAATTCCTCAGGTACTTCACCCGGATCCATGTTATTCCTTGCTGAGAACTTCTTTATATCATTTTTTTCTGAATAACAGCGACGACATTCATCTTTTACAAGTTCAACAGAGGGGAAACATTCATTGCATACAGGATATAAACGATTGGCGAGTTTATCAATCTTAGAGCAAAAATCGGTTAAAAGTTTCAGGTCAAATTCGGGAAGGCAATGATCATCCGCAATCTCATTATAATTGATGCGCTTGTCAAATGAAACACGTCGTTTTCGTTCACGAACTTTTCTTAACCGCTTCTCATGTTGCTCAGCAGTCTCAGCAGCCCTTTTCACCTGTTTTCTTTCTCTGTCACGTTTACGACGAAGTGCACACAGATCAGGAGACTTATTTTCCCTACTTTTACGTTCTTGAAGAGGACGAACATCCATACCATAAGTTTCATAAGTAAATTTAAACGGAACGCAGATAAATTTATTTTTTTATTTGAATAAAAGCGAAACAACAAGAATAAAGTATATTTAAACTTTTAATACTATGTTTAAAACATTATTGAATAAAAGCGAAACAACAAGAATAAAGTATATTTAAACTTTTAATACTATGTTTAAAACATTATTCAATATAAAACGAGATCGCGTACATAATTTTTCACAACGTGACATGATACTATAACGAGTTTATTATGAGATTTAAATAGCCGAACAAATAATCATGACATCACATAATTAAGCAAAACTATTGGCTCGAGCGGACAAACCTTGCATCACTATTACTCTAATCGTAAATGTCCTTCAGACAAATTAAATCTCATTTTATATGATTTTATAAAAAAATAATATAATTTACTGAATTTAACTTACAATCTACAACATTAGAGAATAGTGATAATACAATTAAATTCCATTTAATGTAATTTTATGAAAAAATAACGAATATGTACCAGATTTAACTTACAATCTATAAAATTTGATAATTAATACAATTAAATTTTATTTAATGTAATTTTATGAAAAATAACGCAAATGTACTGAATTTAACTTACCCACTATAATAATTAATTATTAATAAAATTAAATCTCATTTAATATGATTTTACGAAAAAACAAAGCAAATGCACTGGATTTAACTTACACACTATAATATTTAATATTTAATACAATTAAATCTCATTTTTATATGATTTTATGAAAAAATAACAAGAATGTACTGGATTTAACAGACCATCTATAAAATTTGATAATTAATGCAGTTGATTTCATTTAATATGATTTTATAAACAAATAACAAAAATGTACTGGATACAGCTTACCTTCTATAAATTGATAATTAGTATAATTAAATCTCATTTCATAAGATTTTATGAAAAAATAACGCAACTGTGCTATATTTAACTTACTCCCTATAAATTTGTAGATTAATACAATTAAATCTCGTGTCATACGATTTTATGAAAAAATAAAAAAAATGTACTGAATTTAACTTACAAACTACAACATTAGATAATAGTAATAATCCAATTAAATTTTATTTGATGTAATTTTATGAAAATGTACTGGATTCAACTTACAATCTACAAAAGTAGAGAATAATAATCATACAATTAAATTCTATTTAACGTAATTTTATGAAAAATAATGCAAATTTACTGGAATGAACTTACCCACTATAATATTTAACAATTATTGCAATTAAGTCTCATTTGATATAATTTTACGAAAAATAATGCAAATGTACTGGATTTAACTTACTCTCTATAAGATATAACAATTAATACAATTAAATCTCGTTTATATATGATTTTATGAAAAAATAACAAAAATGTACTGGATTTAACTTACCATCTATAAAATATAACAATTAATACAATTAAATTTCATTTAATATGATTTTATGAAAAAATAACGAAAATGTACTTGGTATAACTTACAATCTACAACAGTAGAGAATAATAATAATACAATTAAATCTTATTTAATGTAAAATAACGTAAATGTACTGGATTTAACTTGCCATCTATAAAATTAGGTAATTAATACAATTAAACCTCATTTCGTAAGATTTTATGAAAAAGTAACGCAAATTTATTGGATTTAACTTACCATCTATAAAGTTTGACAATTAATACGATTAAATTCATTTATGAAATAATAATAATAATACAATTAAATCTCATTTCATATTATTTTACAAAAAAATAACGAAATTGTACTGGATATAGCTTACCATCTGTAAAATTACTAATTAGTATAATTAAATCTCATTTCATAAGATTTTATGAAAAAATAACGCAATTATACTATATTTAACTTACTCCCTATAAATTTGATAATAAATTCAATTAAGTCTCATTTTATGGAAAAATAAAAATGTACTAGATTTAACTTACCCACTATAGAATTTGATAATTAATACAATTAAATCTCGTTTCATATGATTTTTACGAAAAAATAACGAAAATGTACTGGATTTAACTTACCAACTATAAAATTTGACAATGCAATTAAATCTCATTTCACATGATTTTATGAAAAATAGCGAAAATGCACTGGATTTAACTTACAATCTATAACAGTAGAGAATAATAATACTATTAAACCTCATTTCATATGATTTTACGAACAGATAATGAAAATGTTCATGATTTCAACTTTACCTCCTATAAAAATTAACAATTAATACAATTAAATCTGATTATTTACAAAATATTTAATAGTTTTCTGGATTTAGATACCTTCTACAAGTATTATTGTTAAGTTAAAAAAAATCATATTTAAAAACATTACTGCAATAATTCATTGAAATTTTTAAAGGACTAACCTTCCGCTGCTTCTATCAATTCTTTCGCATCTTTTGAAATCATAGTGTGATATTGAAATCAAATAAGCACAATAATAGCTGCGTGGCTTCTATGAATATTGTGTAGTATCTGTCGTGTAACTTTATGGATAATGCGATAATGCATAATACATATCGATATAAATATATTAAGAAACTCACAGTTGTGCAAGTTATAAATATTATGTCATACAGGATGCGCACTTTGGATTGTAAAAATATAAATGAACTTACTTTGTGGAAGTTTGAGTATATCGGATTTGATGATATTGAAATTACAGGAAGTAGTAACTTTAGAAAGGTACTAAGCTTCCTCAAAGAATGTCAAAATAGTAACCTCCGCAAATATATTTCTTAGCGTATTGTATTTATTTATTATACGTATATGTTATTGTAACTACGGCACATATATAATACTTAATGTAAAATATTCTAAGTAGCTTATGTTGCATCAAGATGTTAACTTAATGAAACCATTTTACACTTTATGGAATTTCTAATGTAATATACGCCCAGTGATTTTAAACGCGTACGTTTATACAAGAAACTGTAGCCAGTACAAAATAGACAATTATACAGACACTCAAATCCCTATTATCTTAGGGTTATTGAATATGCCGATGGAATGACGAATTATGAATGGATAAAAAATTATAAACGCGATTTGTATTTACACGGAATAGTTTTAACGCTCAGGAAATATTTTATCCAGGATGAAAACATAAAACTTTTCGACTTTGTGCCATCTAAGAAATCTAACAAACTCGCAGTTGGAGTCTGAACCCGAACCAAACCTGTTTGATCCGATTTAGCATGTGCATCCACTAGTGTTCCGAATGGGTCGGGTCAACCCAAAATTTTATATTTCGAGTTGGGTCAAAATCGTTTGACCGTTCAATATTTCAGTCTGAGTTTAAAAAAAAATAAAATCGAAGCAGTGGACAAATTTTCTAGATAAAATTATATATAACTAAAATTCTTTATTTATAATTACGTTGAATAAGAACTCGCTCTATAATCACCATGACCCACGTTGATCTTGTTTACGACTTACAGATTACAGCATACCCTCGCTTCTTTTACCTAAGTTATCATTTATTCTGTAAACTGAATTGGTGCCCTCTGGGTTCGCATATTTAGAAATCTTTGCTTCTTTTCTTTAACCATTTATACAATTAATGTGCTCTTTTATAAATTATTCTCTTTCACCAGATGAAATTGGAAATTTGTTTTTGCTTGAGTCCGGTTCCGATAATTATAAGATCATGATTCATGAATTTTCAAACACGAAAAATTTGGTGTCAGAATCAAATTATTTCAAAAATTGAAAACATATATTCTTGCGTTAT